CTCCCTGCCGCCTGCGACTCTTTGGAGGGCAGAGCGGGCCATGGCACTGGACTCACAGGCCCCCTCCCCCGGCCAGCCTCCCCACTGACCAGGCTCCTCCATTTCCCTGGCTGTCCTACCCCCTCAGATCAGCCTCCTCTCCAAACCTCCCCCTCAAACCAGTTCCTCTCCGTGACTGGGTAGGTCACGGTTGGGGGGTTGTCGGGGGGCCGAGTGGGGGCTTTGTCTGTCATCTGGCTACTCCTGCCTGGCCCAGGGCCCTGAGCAGGGAAGGGCTTGGGTTTCCTGACAGGGACCAGGTTTCTCAGAGGGAAAAGGAGGAAAGAAAAACAAAGAAAAGGAAGAAAAGGAGTGACTTGCTGCAGCTGGAGCCCAGCTGAGGGGCCGGGTGGGCGGAGGTGGGGGTGCTGTGAGATTGTGGGACAGTGTGGGATAGGGATGCCTGTTGTGCGTTGGAGGAAAAGCTGTTTTTAAGACACTCGATTGTGAGGCTGAGTGTGTCACTCTGAGAGGCTTCTTGTGTGCGACTGTGAGACTCTGGGTCTTGTGTAACTATGATGAGAGGCTGTGTGGGACTGGATGACTGTGTGTGTGTGCGTGCGTGTATGTGTGTGTGATTAAGGGCGAGGCTGTTCAATTTTGAGATTGTCTCTAGGTGTGAGGCTGTGTGGCCAAGGTACTCTGGGAGAGTATTGTAAACGTGCCACTCTGTCTGAACACAATGACAGCCAGACCATGTACATGAGACACTGCATATGTGATGGAGCTTAAGCCTGAGTGTATTATTCAAACTGTGGGTGTGGGAAGATGCCCAGTAGCCCCAGCATGCTCACATGTATGAACTGAACACCGTGTGAGAGCGTGTCAAAGGGAGGGTGTGAGCAAAAAGCTCCTGTGTACAGATATCACACCGTCAGACTCTGGGAATTCAGGCATGCTCTGAGCTGCCCTTCAGGGGGCTTCTGAGATACCCAAGTGGCTGTGTCAGCCCATGGCAGGGCATCCCTGGGTCCCACGCGGGGCCATGTGTCCGTGTGCATGCGTGCATGTGCCCCCGCTGGCCCGAGGTTTGTTTGTTTTCCTCCTAATTGGCTTGTTTTTCCATGTCCAGCCCACCAAACCGCATGTTTTTCCTCTCATCTCGCCAGCCCGCCTGGGCTGGAGCCCCCGGCACGCATGAGGTCTGCCCGCCGGCCCAAAGAGGAGGAGAGGCAGGCTGCCCACACCCTGGGCCAGGCCAGATCAGGCTGGGTGGGGCGGGGTGACCCTTCCGCTCCAGCCCTGCCCACGCCCCACCCACGCGCCTCCTCCCGCCTGGCATCCAAGGCCCCTGGCCTGGCCCAACCTTACCTCGTGGCATCCCTCAAGGCCCCCTGACTTCTGGACTCCCAAATGACCCTTTCCTGCCTCCCACTTGTAATTTCTCCCCAGACTTCTTCAACCATAGTCCTCTCCCCATTCTGTCCTTCCCAGCCAAACAGGGCTGAGGGGAAAGGAGTGCTGAACCAGGGGGTCTGGAGCCCCCATCCTGAACAATCAAATACAAATTTTTTTAAAAAGTGGACAAGGAACTGTCCATTTAAGAATCATTTTAATCTCTGGTTTGTTTTAGCTTAAAGTCAGAATGATATTGAATCAGCAGTGTCTTGTAAGCAAAAGGATGCTACTAGAAGGAACACTGTGACCCTGTTTCCTACTGTGGGGTGACCTTCTATCATTTAGGTAAGAGAGTCCTTAGAGTTCTGTTTGTGAGAATCTACCCAAGAGCAGGAAGGCGGATCAGGAGAAAAGCAGTTCAGGGATCAGCTTGAGAAAGGAGACTTCCAATAGGATAATGTTAAGACCAGGTTCTTCCCTTAGAAATGAAGACATACAAATCACAAATATTTAGGATAAATATTAAATAATTGTTGGTCTGAATGACTCACAAATCAGGGGTAACTTTGTCTTGTTTTCTGAGAGCTGGCAAGAAGGATAATTTGATATTGAGTGTTGCCAAACCCAGTGTCTTGTTACTAATATAAAGTGACGGGAATGATCATGATTAATGTCCCCTGTTCCTCTGACCAGGTCTTTAGGAGGAAATAAAGCAATGAGAGATAAGTACCTGTTACCAATGCTATAGCCAATTCGTGGCCAGTCCTCCTCTGACAGGCAGGACCTGGGAGGCAGTAAGCCCTATACATAAAAGGTCTGGATTGCTTAGGACTTTTCACAACAGGTCACAATAGGGCAGCTGTCGGCATGTCCTGTGGGTACAGACTACAGATATTACTTCAAGATCCAATTCCCCTCCAGTGACCTTTCAAAGAAGATCAGGTCATCAGGGATAGGGGCCCAGCGTCGCCAAGGCCCAGCCATCACTGCCAGCCTCACCATCCTGAGGACTTTTGGGACCCAAACTGAGAAGACACGGGTGTGGCTGACTGGTGGCAAGTTGGGCTCATCCTTCTTCCATGGCACTCAGTAAATGGCCTTTTTCCCCGTGTGAGGGCCTGGGGCTAGGCCGAGTGCTCCATTCCTGATGGGCCCCTTAGTGGGTCAGGAAGGATTTGGTTAGGCTCGTCCTGCATTTCTCAATCTGGCCAACAGGGGTCACTCTACTCATGGCTTCCAACGAAATGTTTGGTTTTGAATGCCATCTCTCCAGGCCAACACATTTTTTTAAAAGGCTTTCCCACGGGAAGAGGTATATTCCCCATCAAAATGTATTTTCACACCTCCTTCAGTGTGGTAGGTCAGTGTTTTGTGGAGGGTTCTGAGCAACCCTTCAGTCTAACATTTCATGGGCCACATCAGTTTCCTGACAGTGGAGCAAAGGCCAGCTGCTAGATCCCTTAAGTATCTCCTAGGTAGCTTCCATGGAATAAAGAAATGGACTTCAGGCAGTGGGGTGTATCATACTCAGATGGAACAAAGCCAGAGGATCTTGAAGCGTTGGCTTAGGAGAAAAGAAATGGAACTACGTTCAGAGTATTCACTCTTGGTGGGTGCTTCTGGTTGAGACCCAGATGCCTGCCCACCTAACCCTCAGCAGCACTGATGACCTCATCATTTCAACTTCTCCAAACCCATCTTCCAAGTCACACTCACCTGGTGTTTCCTCTGCTTTCCTGCTGGTTCCCTCTTATCTCCTTTTGTGGCTCATTTCTCTCCATCAACCCCTTATAGGCTGATGGTCTTCAGGGCTCAATTCTGTGTCCTCTTCTTTCCTTACCCCCCAAATTTCCATCTCCAGCACAGGCCTCACCCCTGACCCCAGACCTGCAGACCCACTGGCTACCAGCCATCAACTCCTGGTTATTCCCCAAGGATCCCACCCTAAATGTCTGCAGTAGGTGTCCAAGGAGCCACATCACCTCTCACTGCCAGCTTCTGCAGTTATTTGCCTAAGAGCTTTCTTTGGCCAGCAAGACCTGCTTTGCCTACTGAGGCATCAGGCCAAAAATGTTAGGGAATTAAAGTTCCTCCACCCCCACCCCAGGAGAATCTCTCAACCAGTGCTGGACAGGAGTTTGTATATAAAAATCCCAGCTCCCTAATCCTCAGGCAGAATAACTCTGAGATGTGTGTTCTGTATCAGCACCCAGAGTTCCTCAGTGGTGATGACAATCACTGAGAGGTAATGTCTGGATAACTTACTCTTTATTGGTTGTTTCGGTGTCACTTTCCCATTCCCTTAGGGTGTTTCTGTCACCTGCCAAATAAGCTACTTGCATATGAATTCTTGGGACCTGATTCTAGGGAAACCCAAACTAAGATACTGCCCAAATAGAGCACACTATTTTTTCCTCCTGTTTTCTCCCAGTTGCAGTGATGGATACCTCCAGCTGCCTTGACTTCTCCCACTCTCTACTCTCCTGTCCTTCTCACCTCCAATCAATCCATCACCAATTCGTGGAGATCCAACCACACCCTCTCAACTTCTCCAAATCCATTCTCTGGTCCAGGTCCTCACCATCTCTCCTGCCTCCAGTATCAGCATCCTTCCTGCCCTGGTTTTGCCCCATCCAACCAGCCTCTGTCCACTGCAGTGAGAGTGATCTTCTAAGAACATGACCCAGAACATGGCCTTCCCCAGCTTCCAGGATCATGATCTGCTCCCTCTCCCCTCCCTCAGCTCCCTTCTCCCATCTACACCAGCCCAAGTGGTCTTTACAAGTCCTCCCAGTCCCTGAGGTCTACAGTCACACTCAGTTTTTTGCTAGAAATGAAGTTTCGATGCCTCTTCCAAATCTTCCAAGTTTCCATGTCCTTCCCTGGGGCCTCCCAGAGTGCCTATACCTAAACCTGTTTAACCAGAAATCCCATCTCCCTCCCTAAGACTCTCCGGCCAGTCCCTGTGGGAGCCAACACAGGCTGATCCTGCTCAGAGCTGTGACCTTAGGGTTTCTCCTCATTCAGGTCACAGACGCTTGCCAGCTCACCTCTGCTCATTTTGTCACAGGGGGACAGAATTTTAGGATCTTGAAAACCTCTATAGGGGTGGGAGACATGGGTAAAATGCCCAGGAGTCTGGACTCAGTGGGCAAAACTGGGCTCAGAGGTCAGAACAGCAGGCCAGGATAGAATCAGAAGGCCAAGGTCAGGTTGCCACTCTCCTCTCTCCCCATGCCCCAACAGGAAGGGGACTTGATCTGGGCTAGGGATAGAAGGTCGGATGAGGGATTGGGGCAACACTTACAGCCCACATGCAGCAGGACTTGGTGGCGCAGGTGCCAGGAGTCATGGTGGAAGCAGGCATAGAGTCCACTGTGGCCCAGTTCCAGGCCACGGAGCACGAGCTGAGAGCCATTGAGCAGGTCAGGGGCCAGGTCTGTTCCGTTTACCCGCCACGTCACAGCTGCATCCCAGTTTGCTGTCCCGCATGGCAGTGTCACGTCTGAGCCCAGGCGCTCGTACTGCACATGGGGTGCCTCTGCGGGGGATGGTGAGGGCAGAGGGCAAAAACCACAGGTCACTACCCTGCCCAGCACTCCCAGGCGAATGTGCACAGAGGAGAGTCTGTGAGGATGCATGAGTGAGGATGAGAGGCTCTGGATCTGACCGTGCATGTCTTGGGGAGATGGAGAGTGTGCAAAACTTTGTGGCTATGCAAGTGTACAGGTACGTGTCTCCAAATTTGTATGTGTGTGCGTGTGCACCGGGGCTGTATGCGAATGGGTGATCTCTGTGTGTGTGTGTGTGTGTGTGTGTGTGTGTGTGTGACACACACACACAGGGGGAACAAGAGTAGAGAGGAAGGGAGGGAATGGGAAGGAAGGGAGGTAGGGGAAGGGAGGAAGAGGGACTTCATAGTTCTGATAGGGGTCAGTTCTCAATGAACTCTCAGTTCACCTCTAGTACCTAGGTTCTTTAAAAGTTTCCTGACTCCCAGGGTCCTAACCTCTTGCCACCAACAGGCTCTGGGTTCCAACACCCTGCCCCAATCACTAGCATCCATTACCCAGGCAAGCTGACACTAAGCGGTCCTGTCTCATTTCTGTCTCTCCCTATCTATTTCTCTCTCCCATGCTTGTCTCTTTCTACTTCTCTCTCCCATCCTTGTCTGTTTCTGTCCTGTTTCCATCTCTCTATCTCTCTTCCAGCCTCTCTCCCTCTCCCTGACTGCCTGCCTCCTCAGCAGCCCCCTCCCGTAGCCAACCAGGACTTGGACAGCAGCAGGAGAAGGGAAACTGGGCAGGAGTGAACGAACCCTAGGGAACTCCTGGCAGCTGTCAACCTCGTGAGGCAGGAACTGCTTAGGGCAGGTGCAGGGGAGTGGGGAGGGCAGTGCTGCTGGGACAGAGTGAGCACTCTGATCATTCCTCTCCTGCCCCCAGGAGGGACCTGCCAGAGCCAAAAGCAAACCCCAGCCCTGGCCTGGGCAACCCAGGCGTGATGGACTGAGCCCAGGAGACTGAAGATGGAAGGGTGGAAGGGAGCACCTGTCGAGAGGCAGTGCTAGGTGGGAGAGGCAAGGGGGACAGAGAGCCAGAGGGGCAGATCTACAGACAGCAGCAGAAGAGCAGGCACACAGAGATCGGGATCTCAGGACAGCCCCCTTCTCATCCTGCCCCCTGAGCCTGGAAGGACAGATGCTTCCCTGGTCCTGGCTAGATCTGCGGAGTGAGGATGGGAGGGGAGAAGGGAAGGGGAGGGGGCAGCAGTTGGGGGGGCTGCGGGATCCCTCGTTAACACTCGCTTACATCTCCCCTCCAGAGAGCCACCCTGCTGAGTTGGGGGATTTTCCGAGGCAATTCCTGTTAACGAGCCAATTAAGTTGGGCCAGTGGCCTCTTAATTAGACTTGTTAACACCACCAAGACTACAGGGGGGTAGGGATCCCCCTTGGGCCCACAGGCTGTCCCCTCCCCCAACGCAGCCCCCCTCCCTAGCACTGCTTTTCTCTGTGCTGAAACATCTGTCCTGGTTTTCAGCCTCTGTCGTCCTAGCCGTGCCAGGGTCTCTCTGTGTGCCACGGTCTCTCACCCTCGCTGCCGGTCTCTGTCCTGCCCCTCTCTGAGCCTCTCTGTCCCTGTCAGAGAAGGAAGCAGGAAACCCGGCCAGCCCTGACCACTCGTCTGTGGGGCCTGGGACCAGCCGAACAGAGGATGAACGAGCGGAAGGGCGGAGGCTGGGGGCCTTGGAGGCCACAGCTGTGAGGCTGGACCAGAGACCGAATGGGGGCCTCCCCCTGACCAGAGGCCCAGTGTCCAAGACTCAGGCCACCGAGTCCCCCTCCCAATCCACCAGCTACAGCCACTGAGCCCCCCTCCAGCCTCCTTTCCAAAAACCTGGAGCTTCCAGGAAACATGCCAAGCCACTCTCTCTGCACCCCCCCCCAAAGAAACTGCATCCAGCTGCCTGAGGAAGAGGCTGAAAACTGACCGTTGGGGAGGGGGTGTGGCCATCATGGTCCCAGAGGCAACACAGCAGTGCTGACCAACAGTGCAGTCCTTTAATTCTGGGGAGCAGGTACAGCCACAAGGATGAGGATGCAGTGATCCAACAACACAACAAAACAATGGCAATGGGATAACACTTCCCTGCCACACCTTGTCTGCCTTACACGCACACAAAAGTGGAAACGTAACCTGACAACAACCAAAAACCAAGGATGTAAGGGCAGAAACAAAAAATGATTACACAATGACAGAAGACAACCACAGGCCACACTGCAGAGGCAGAGGGGACACCATGACATGACAGTCACACAGTGACACAACTGCTACAATAATACAACAATGGCAATACACACAGCCATGCAACAGCTCCAAAGATGGCAACGATATAATCTTTTGTCTCTGGACAGCTCTCCTCCCGCCCCGTGGGTGCCCCTACTGATGTGCTGTCCATTTCAGAAATTAAATCAAGCAGCAGGGGGAGGATGGGGTTCTTGGCCCTGACGCGGTGACAAATGCTCCAAAGGAATCAGCTGTGAAAAGGTTGTTAGAAGCCAGGATGAGAGACAGAGACAGGATGAGGTCATGGACATGGAGAACACAGAGGGACAGAGCTGACAGCTCCCTCACACCTGCACACACAAGCTCACATGGGGACCACATGCCGGAAACAGTCCCTCTGGGCATCCTAAGCAATTTCACATTGCCACACACTCGGGGACAAGGACAGTCACCCACAAAGAGGAAGGACACACAAGATAGTCATCCACAGGCCATAGCCATGCAAGAGTTCACACACACAGGGACACTGTCCCACTTCAGGAATGGTAACACCTGATGCAAGATCACAGGCATCTAGAAGGAGGGTATCATCACCCAGAGGTACAGTTACACGTGGGGACACAGTCTCATGCACAGGGAGACAGTTTACTAGGGATACAAACACACAAAGAGAAACAGAGAGGCTGTGGGTGCAGCCTCAAACACAAGGATACAGTACTATAAAGGACACAGTCACACACAGACAATGATGTCACACACAAGACACATCCCATAAGGATACAGCCACAGCGAAACACACTCAAACAGAGACATGCTCTCACCCACACAAAAGCAGTGTCAACATAAGGACACAGTCTCACACACTCTCAGAGATGCAACCTTATGTCCAAGGTCTTGATCTCAAAGGGTAGAGACTTTTTGCATGCAAGGTAGAGAATACTGGTGGGCGCTGGGGAGGTCCAGTCAGCATCCCTGGGGTCACCCAGGCTCTCTTGGCGTCTTATATAGAAGAGGCCACAGAAGCCCCGACCTCCTCCTCCTCTGGAACCAACAGCCTTGGGAGAGGCAGAGCTCAGCCATCAGGGTGCGCTCCGTGCCTGGTCCCTGGAGGTGCCCCCATCCTCTCTCCCTCCACCAACTCACCTGAGGTAGAGAGGGTAGGGTCCATGCAAGAGAGGAGCTTAGGGAGCCTCATTCAAGGCAAGCTTTGAGTTCAGACCTTGTACTGATGTGGCCATCTTAGATGCTGCCTCATATGCAGCAGAAGGACTGGTTCAGAGGGCACCTGTTTCCCCAGCAGGGTACAGCTCTGTGTCCTATGGGCTGTGGGAAGGACTTGGCCCTCGCTGAAAAAGTAGGTAGAGGGAGGGCAGAGGCGCTGCCAATGGCCCAATCCCTGAACAATCCCTCCCTCTTCCAACTATTCCAGCTGATTCACCTGTCCTCTTCCTTAGTGTACTAACCCTCTCCCACTCGTCACCCTGCCTGTCCCCTCATCTTGTTCTTAGTCTACCATCTCTGTCCCCATATTCCCTCTAGGATAAGGCTGAGAGTAGAAGGTGACCAGCAGTCTTGCCCACTGTCTCCTATCAATGCCTCCTGAAGGAGGGCCCCTCTCACCCAGATACTGTACAGAGATCCTACTCCTAGACTCCCCCATCGACTCCCTTCCCACCTGCCCACCTGCCCGGACCCTATACCCACCCTAGTAGGAAGAGACAGATCATTTCAAGCCAGAGACACCACAGTGTGACTGTGGAGGCCTCTGCTTATGAGACATTGGTGGGCCACTCTGTATGTCAGTGTCACATGACTCTGTGTCCCTCTGGATGTTCAAGTGTGACAGTGCCAGTGTGTGACTCTTGGGTGGCATCAGTTCATGCCCAACTCTGAGAGGGGGTCAGCGGGCAGTTCCCCTGAGCACTCACCCTGTGGACTGTGTCTCTGGGTGTAGACAACTGCGGCAGCGGCAGCCAGCACAGCACAGCAGGCCCATGGCACAGGGGCGGCCATCTGTGGGGAGAAACGGGTGGGGGGAAGGGGCAGCATCAGCCCAGGCAGGAACGTCCTGGGGAGCCCCCCCTGTTCTCAGGCAAGACTGGGAAATCCCAGCCCTAGGCCCAGGGCACCTTGACCCCAAATGCCCTCCTTAATGGGGCTCAGGATCCTCTTTCAAGCAATAGAAAGCAATGTCATTGGCATCTGTAGGCAAAGGTTCTCTAAGATGGTAGAAGGCAACCTACAGTGGTTTGTTGTTCGATAAGACTGCTGGCTGCAGAATGTAGTCAACCGCGGATGAGTTATAGGACATTGGTAATGCCAGGGCCATTTTTCTAAAAAAAAAGAATGACTTTACTGGTGAGGTTGGCTAATTAGCTATAAACATCACAAACTGAAAGGGTGATGTTTTAACTTAATTGGAGGTCTGTACTTCTCCAAATTGCCTTGAATGGAAGGCCCCATGCCGTGCTCCTGGAGAGAGAGCCTGAAACCTGGATGTTCAGGAGTCCCTTGGAGCTGTCATCTTATTCCCACCCCCCTGCCTTGAGCCTTGCCACTGAGCTCTGGGAAACTCGAAGCAGCAGAGTACCAGGGCAGTGGTATGTGACCCAGGTCAGATGTGGCTTCTGCTTAATTGTACACCAACGATCAGGAGAAAATGAGGGATTTTCATATATAAGTCCTTGTCAGGGAGCCCAGCCCATCCTTCACCCCAGCTATGAGCCCCCAGGGGCCTGGAGTCCTCAGTCTAGCAGATGCACATGAGTGTCTACATATATCCATGCAAGTACACAAAACACGTTCAGGTCATGTCCTCAGAAGCCAGGATGGATCCAGTGCCTCCACCCACCAATTGGTGTCTTGATTCCCGGGATGGGTCGGACTGTTCCCCTGTTCCCAGCACACGCTCACACCAGAGGGCAGGGAAATAACTATTTTATGCAGAAAAGGCCCCAAATGTGACAACACCCCCCAGTCTGAGAAGGGATATGTATTGTTAACCACACAGAAGCAGTGTCTAAAGAGGCACTGAGGGATGCTACCAGACACCAGACCAGGGCCACTGTTAGAGATACAGCTAGCCACATAGCAAAGACACTGGCCAAAGACACTGCCCACAACAACCAGAGAGAACCCCCAAAGAAACAGCTCCACACACAGTGTGAGATACACTAGGGACTTTTAGATGGACCACCAGACAAAGCTGGAGGAACTGGTAGATAAAACCAGATAACCAGCCAGAGAGAGGGTCAGAAAAGAGTTGACAAAATCAAAGGACCCGCCAGAAACACTGTAAAAGACTCAGCCAGACCCAAGCAGACACACTGCCAGAGCAAGGAGCACAGGCAGAGAACCCATCAGTGACCTAGCCAGAGAGTTAGAGACACTGTCAGAAACAGTGCCAGAGAAACCGTCTGATACACAGGCAGAGAAATACCAGAGAACTGATAGACACAAACAGGCATACACCCAGAAAACAGCTAGAGAAGAGAGCCAGAGCCACAGCCAGATGCTCTGTCAGGAAGTATCTACACCACTGAAAACACTGCCAGAGACACTGTCAGACACACAGCCAGAGACACCGTCAGAAACACTGCCAGAGAAACAGCCAGACACACAGCCAGAGAAACTGACAGAGACATTCTGCCAGATACACCCCGAGAAGGTGCCAGAGACACAGCTAGAGACAGTGCAGGCGTAGCTAAAGCAGAGTGGAGAAAAATGTGGGTATCAGCCTGCAGCAATTCTGGGGAGGTGGCTGGAGAGAATCAGATTCCCTGGGCTCCTTTATGGGAGAGGTATCCTGCCTGACCTTTGCTACCCCTCGACCTTCCCCAAGAAAGTCCCTTCATCCAAACCCTCCCAGCCATAGCTGCAGGTGCTCTGCCTGCCCCTCCCTGGCATAGCTAATCTCTCTATGCCCCAAGTGGTCTCAGCTACCCTTCCCACCTCAATAACTCCTGAGGCCTTAGCTACCACTTGGCCCAGCTCCTTCTGAGCCTTGGCCACTCCCCCATCTTCAGCTACTCCTTAGGCCTAGGCGGTTAGGACAACAGCCAGTTACACAGCCAGCAAGTGGTGGAGCCAGGAAATGAACCCAGAACTGTCTGAATTCAGAGCTGGTGCAGCAGAAAGAGAAAGACAGAGACTAGAGGCTTACCTGCTTCCCCACCCCAGTCCTTGCTAGTAGCCCTCAGACCTTCCTCCACCGCCTCTGCCACCTGTCCATGCCTTCTTCCTTACAGCCAGGAAGATCCTCCACCTCAGTGCCAGGGGCACTGCCCACCACATGGGAGCAGGAGCCAGAGCATGGGCAGAGGAGCAGGCAGAGGGGACTGAGGTTAGAACACAGGATGGGAGTGTGCAAGGGAGAGGAAGAATGGGGAGGCCTCTGCTCCCAGCTCCTTGCTGGTCCACACAAGCACACACTCCCATGTGCGTGTGCGTGCGTATACACACACACACACACACACACACACACACACACACACACACCACAAGCTTAGGCCCCCGCAGGGGGAGGGGTGGCTTCTTCATCAAAGTCGCCTCCATCAGCCCGATGAGTTACTGTAAGGGCCGGGCCCTGGGCCAACGGGGCTGCAGCCACGGGAGACGGGCGCTGCTGAGAGCGAGCGCTGCAGCGAGTGGGGGTGGGGTACCAAGACAGACACTGCAGGGTTAGGGGCACCCAAAAAAAGGGAGAGACTCTAAGGCAAACAGGAGGCAGGGAGAGAGGGAGAGCCCTGAGTGGAGAGGCAGAGGGACAAGGCGAGACAGAGACAGAGAGAAATAGAGACTCAGGGAGGAAGATGGGGCACACAGGAGACAGGCAGAGACTCAAGGGCAGGAGAGACAGATCCAGAGAGAAAGACAGACCCCTGGCAGCATCTCTGTGCTCACCCTAGAGCATCTCCGTAACCTGCCCACTCCTACAGCATGAAGGAGGATGGTCTGATGGTCAGTGCAATGTGAGGCAAGAGCAGGGCCTTCCAGGGCCTGGAGGGATTCTCGGTGGGGATTGAGAAGCCCCTGGGGGACAAGAGTGAAACTCCTATCTCTGCCCCTGCAGATCCAGAAAGCCCCAAGCCAGTTTCACTTCCCCCTTTCCTCAGAGTCCTGGCTAGGCCTACTCCCCAGAGGCACCCAGGACACACCTCTACCCTGCCCTGGCTCACTCAGGCCACCCATCCCAGAGCAAAGAACATCTTTTCCAGGAATTTTCCAAGTCCACACCCCATAGCTCTGGAGTAGATCTGGAGGATAAATCCCATAGAGCCCCAGATAAGGGCTACGTAAACTGGCCCAGGCTCCTGTAAGTCCCTCAAAGAGGTCAGTCCCAGAATGAAGAAGGAACAGAGGGTACCCATTAGTAAGAAAGGAGCCCAGGGCCCAGCAGCCCCTCGGCCCCTTATCAGCACAAGGGTCCTAACACCCCTACTGACACAGAACCCCAGTGTCATTGTTTTACACACACACACACACACACACACACACACACATATCAAGGGTCAAATTCTGGGGCCCCAACTTACTGCCACTGTCCAGCTGTAACATAAAGACACCACTATACACTATACAGTGATAACACCCAGTGAAAATGACATAGTTGTACTGTACACACACAGGGATGCTGACAGTCACCACAATGACAATGATTCAGTGAGTGACAGTCACATACAGTGACACCAACAGACAGGGCAGCGACACCTGTTGACACTGACACAGTCACCATGACAGTAACCTCAGGATCAAAGAGGCGATGAGACTGGCAGTGACAAAGAGTAACACTGAGGGTGACATCAACACAGTGACACAGGGATGCTGATAGGCTCAGTAACAGTCACACAGAATGACACCACTCTACAGTACCCCTGGAGGCTCCCCTGGAGGCTGACAGCCACCGTTGGTAACACTGACAGACACAGTGACAGGCTCCAGATTGGGAATCTCCATTACCCAGTTTTGGGGGCTGGCCTCAAGACCCCTCCTGTCTGCCCCAGGAATGTCCCAGTTGCCCTGTGCCCCTACTCTCACCCCCTGCCCAGCTAAGGACAGAACCTGGGGAAGGGAGGTGTGAATTTTGGAAAGTCCCTATTTATCCGGCAGAATCACAGACACAGACACAGACAACCCTGGGGAATCCCTGCCACTGTCAAGTGGGGCTGGGGAGTTACGAGCACCATCGACTGAGTCTCAGCTATAATTGTGTGTGAGTGTTGATCTGAATCTCAGGGTACAGGTTGGCGTGGGTACGCAAAGGGTCAGGTAGGCTCAATCTGGCCTAGACAATGAATGAGCAGGGAGGCCTCAAAGCAAGTGACCTCAAAGCAAGGTTACCATTCCATCTCCAAGGTGGGGAATTGAGACTCAAAGAAGGTCACCAGCTGGACTCCTCTCTCATCGCCAGGGATTGGGGTGGGGTCAGGATCATTCCTCTGATGAGGGGCATATGGCAGGAACATTCCTCCGATGAAGGGCATGTGTCTCAGCACAAAGCAGAGGTGACTCCCCACAGCTTCTAGTTCTGACCCCCACAGCCCCAGACTCCAGAATCTCACAGTGTGAGGGGAAAAGGCACCTTTTGTCCTGGGGCCTCATCTCTCCCCACAGCAGGCTTAGAGGACCCATCTCTGGGAATGAGGCAAGAACACAGGACACAGCACGGACTAACTGATTCAAATCTAGAAACCTCTAGAATTCCTCTGCAGAGGAATTAGGTTGGAGCAGGGAAGAGAGACAAACATATTTGGAGACAGAGAAAGAAAACAAGAGATGGAGCAGGGGCAAAGATGGGGACAAGGGAGGTGGGCAGGGAGGAATAGCACTGGCTGAGGGGAGCCTGGAAGAGACAGTCAGGGAGGGCGGGAAGCTCCAGGAGGAGGAGGGGCTGAGGCCGGGAGGCCCCCAGATCCCACCAGGCCTAGGCCGCCTGGACAGCGTGGGCGGTGGGGGCGGGGGCAGAGGCCTGAGCAGTCCAGAGACTGGGGGGGCAGGGGGACCAGGCCGAGGAG